GCGTTGTCATTATATATTCGAGTCATAGCAGTTAAAGATTATTGTCTAGCTTAGTTCAATGTACAGACGATTAAAATATATAAAACGATTCTGAAATGATTCAATCTTACACAGTAAAGTATAACTATGTAAATGTATATGATGAATCGGTGGTGTACATAAATTACATGAATTTATGTAAGGTAACTTTTTTTTTCTGAATTCGAACATGGTAAACTTTTTCTGTGCTTTTATATGCATACAAATGCACGCATACGTGTGTGCGTTTAAGAAAGCATGGAATTATTCAGAATATTTAAGTCATACTGATTGTCAATTCTGTTTACTGGTGTAGCTTTTTCTTCAGTTAAATATATATAATCGTCTAGTCAAATCCAGTCTCATTTAAATGTTGTTATAAAAGCCTTCAAAACGAATTCGATGAAATGAATTTTATAAATTCATATAAATTCGTAGAAATAGTATTAAAGTCTGTTTCATCGAAATATATTGAAAGACCAAATAGAAACATATTATATGTGAAAAATTTCAAGTTTCGCAAAGCCAATCACAAGGTAATTTCGGCATTTTGTTTGCTGGCCATGGAAGATAACCGGCTGTTTTAAAAACCCAATAATCATAAGATACTTTTGCTATCAAACTTATTAAGAGAACTACCTCTGTAGCGATAATGTAGTAAATATAATCTGTCCAATCACCTGGGTATACACACATTTTTGAAGGTTCTAAATCAACAACCTTTTCTTTAACATTTTCACATAATACTTCATCCGAATCTAATATGCGAGTTTGTAACCATACCTGAAAAAAGAATTTAGATTTTTCGAAGTTTCGAATCTATTAATTGACACATTTACATATATTCGTACAATGGTTACCTTTACATTTTTAGCAGTATTACAATCACAATGTAATTCATTTCCTCCAAGTTTCACCAAACGCGAACTGGTAAAACTTTTATCATAAGTGTTAGGACTCAAAATGTATGTTGGAAGCTGAATATTTAAATCAACAACAATTAATGTCAATTAGCGTCATATAACATCCTCGTTTGTATTTCATATTTATTCACTAGAAATCTGCCATATTTTCTACTTACGGATTTGATTTTATTATACCGTAGACTGAGGAAAGCATAATTGTCTAAAAACTTAGAACCTTCCAGTTTATTTATAGATGATATATTGTTATAGTCTGCATAAAAATCTCTTATATCTTCGTAACATGGATTAGTGCTTAGATCATCTAATGCTGTAATCTATAGCAACGAGGAAAAATCTTTAAATGCATTCTACATACATTGAGTAATAATATTATTCTATAAGTTCAAATAATTCATGAAATTTACATACGTTGTTGTACGATACATTCAAGGCTATAGTATTGCGAGGTAATTTTTCAGGTAATTCGGTAATTTGAATACCACTACAATCCACATTTACCGCTAAAGTCGGTGGTTTACCTTCGACAATATCCAATCTTCTGAAATTGCATTGGCACTGCCAAGTATCTCCTTTTGGGCATTCTGTTTGTAACTGTGAAATAGTAATAGATTTCAAGTAGTGATCTCCATGTGTACATGCATGTGTAATTAATGTTCACGTATTTTGATCTATGTCCTTTTAAATACACGTGTACACGTATATTTCGATATACGTGTATACGCGTGTTTCGGTACACGTCCACCCGGGTATTTCAACAACAATTAATGTATATGCTACTAATATATCCATATTTTATTTTGTGTGATTATTTTATGTAGGATAAAGTTTTAAAATTTTCAAGTAGAGTCGAAAGTAGAACATGTATTGAAATACATGAATTTGGATACATAAATACACGTTCAAAACCGTGATCTCTAGTTCCAAGTATTGAACGTCAGATTAATGTCATTAAGTAATTTCTAAATGTATTCAGTTTGAAAATATTACCAAACTAAGATATCGAACTTGTTTCAGAGGAACTTGCTCGGTGGTATTGAACCAATGCCATGTTTTACTAGCTGAACATACAGTTTCGTTTTCACGATTAAAATTAATCTGTTTTTCTCCTGTTTTATTAATGTATTGGTAGATATCGTGACACCAAAGTGTATTTGTTCCTAAGTAAAGTAATTCATATTAATTGCACAAAATGTACAGAAAATATACAAATAAGCATAACAAAAATTGCTTTTATGTACACCTGTTTATTTACCTGAAATATCCAGCCAGAATTCACGGCCATTCATTGTATTTAGTGCTGGTAAATGTTTAAGATTATTGTAAGATAAATCCAAAGTGGTAAGTTGTACTAAACGTGTAAGCGAATTATTTTCTACTTCTATAAGACCATTATTAGATAGATTCAAACACAGTGTTGGCGTCATCATTCGAAACTGTCCTTTCACACGGTTTATTTTTCCATCTGTTACAGCAAGCGATTTCAATCTTCTCCATCTAATTTCACTTACATTGAATACATCTAATGTCAGATTTCTTATATGTACGTAGGATACGTTTGATGGAAATCCTGTAATATTAAAAGTTAAGATAATAATTAGTCCAGTTAAGATAATAATGTCCAATTTTTCATGAATTCTACGAATACTGTATCTGCTATATGTAGTAAATGCTAACAGACATATAGCAACACCAATGAGGCTTATCTGAAACTACCATTAGGATCAACTTCTTTAAATTGCTTACATCTAAGCATAAGTGAAAGGTTTTTATGAAGTAATCCATTGATGGTAGATTCTCTGTCAATGATCATGAGAACCTCGATGATGCTTCAGATAAGGTATTCAAATAATCTTTTAATAACCTGCACAAGATAGCTCGGTAGCAAGATTTCTAATATCCAAGTTGCAACAAAACACAGCAGTGCCTTCAGGATTATTGTGGGCGAGAACAATTTTTGTACAAGAACATCCAGTTGTTTCAACATTAGGACATTCGTTAGATTGGCGATAAAAGCATTGTTCTAATGCTCCTCCAGACATTCCTGTTATTGTACTTGATGAGGATGTTTGTTGGTCTTCTTCTGTCCGCGCACTTGCTACTCCTGCATACAAGCACATCATTATGGCGAACCACTGCATCTGTAAAGTTAATTGATGTTAGCAAGTACGAGTAAATATAATTAACTTTGTTAAGATAATAATGAATAAAAATGTTTCTGTGATAAATATTTAATAGGCAATTTAATAGACGTTCTTAAAATTTCCAATATTTACCGAAATATTGGAAATGCAATAAACAAATTATGTTCAAACATGGTTAAAATAATATTGTTGAATTTTTCTTTCGATCCTTACTGTTATTTACTCAGTATTGCAACTGTAATTAAACTGAACGAACACTGAAACTTATTACGAAGTACCTTAGCTTTACACTAACACAATGCTAATAATACTTTAATTTTTATTTCGTTACGTATGAAAAACATCGCGATCGGAGGTTCTACGAAATAACGTAAAAAACCATGCAATTCATTATAATCACATTAATAAATTCTATCATAGCACACA